TCCAACAGAGGGTCCGATTTTCGGTGAGGCAAAACACGACAGATAGCGTTTTGATGCATCTTTTCCACTAAACCTAAGTTTATTCAAACCCTCACTTCACTCAGACACCTGTTTCTTCCTGAAGCAAAATCAGATGCACACATGCATTCATCTCATCTCATGTTCAATTCTCACTACACTTGGCACCCACACGCATCCATAATCACATCATATCACTCTCAATTTTCATTCACCTACAGAAGGTCTATTTGAGCATTAACAGCCTATCAACTGTTAAAAAGATTGTCCCACAAAGTTATCAATGTTGATTGTATTTCCTGTTTGTCAATTTCAAAATCATTAGTTTAATTTGAAGAATTAAAACTTTTAAACGTCAAACTGGTTTCCTCATTGAACTGAAACACAGACACTCAGATATTATCGGCAGTTTATGGATGAAAACAACCTTTGAGTCTTCTGAACAATATAAAATTTGGTTATTGATTTATTAAAATTAATATTCCGAATTAATACGTAGCATGGTTCCTCTTTCATAAAAGAGCATAAATCCATAACGCTACATAAAACATATTACAACTTTTATCAAACATTTTGAAAGCAAACACACGCATTACCTGTCATGTCCTTGTTTTGTCCAGCCAATGCTGCTGTTGTTGTCTGCGCTGATTACCTCACTGAATCTTTCCCAAACACGCAATTTAGCAGTTTGTCCCTCCTTTCTTTTAAGAATGTAAACTCCCGAACAAATTTTATCCAAAATATCGTCCTCCATCGTTTTGTTGATGTGGCTGCCTGCCACACTTCACTGGCACTTTCTGTACGTGCCTACGTCATGGGGTCAGAGTAATGTTTAAAAACGTGACCGTGTTTAAACAACTGTCTTCAATATTGTGTTTTAGAAAATTAAGCATTGATTAATGTCTTTATCCTCAGTGTGCATAAATATATATATATATATACCCACCCCAAAACGCACCGCACTGAAGTAAAAATGTATTGACCCGACCCAACCCGTACCGCGTGTTTGAAGTCAATCTGCGCATCACTAGGACCATGCATAGATTGAAGAACAATGGTCCAAGGATCAAACCTTGGGGTACCCCATGTGTTATGGCGATCTGCTTAGATTTGTGATCACGAGAAAATGTAACACCTGCCTTCAAAATATCATCTGAACCATGCTCTGGACTGTGCCTGATCATCCAACCCAATTTATAAGCTTGTCAAGAAACATATTTTGGTCCATGGTATCAAAAAGCCCCGATCTCCTGTTTTTTTCAAGGTCTGTGATTGGCCAAAAACTGCAATGGATGCAACCCTAGTTTTACCCTAGCCGAATCATTGCTGCTTTTCACCTAAATTTCCCAAGAAATATCTATATTTCTCATGAAAACATCTAGTTTACTTAACAACAGCCAGTTTAATGATTTTGGAAAAATACCTGACAGCAACATACAGTTAACACTTTTAAACCCATGTTTCAAAGCAACAAAAACATTTTTTTTAAGTTCAATTAAACAAAAAAGTCATTTCACTGCCAAAGTCAACTCAGATCAGCTTTGTCAGTGGCATCAAATTAACTCTGACTGCAGGGTTTAGGAATTGTGAGACTATTCCCAGACTCCCCCAGACATAGATGGCTTGTTCCAAAAAATGGCCTTGGCACACATTTATAAGATGTCTACAGCTATCAAGGTCTCTTCTGAAATTCCAAACCCCACAAAACTTGGTAGAGAGTGAATGCACTCCTGAAATAGGAGCATACTGCAATCCCCTCTCTTTTGTCTATTTTTAAAGCAGTCAAAAAATCAGCTCCTTCTAAAGTTACTGCAGCACAACTGACAGGGTGTCTGAGGTTAGAATGCAAACTCAGTGAAATGCCATCCCATGGCTTGGAGCTCGCTTTCACAATGAGAGGCGAGGCTAAATTTACCCTGCACTGGTTACAGTGTAGCCACGGTTGTCCAGGGGCACGCTGACAGAACCGTACAATTGGAAACAGTTCTTTTAGCCTCCACATAAAACTTTGTTTGGGCTCACATTGGCCCAGGATCCCTGATAAATGGTAAAACGCAAACCTATAACAAAGCCCTATGGAAAGATTAGTATGTACCGCCCATCATGCCCAATAAACATATTAGCAGTAGCTTAGGCCAGTGTTAGCAGTAGCCTGGCCTACCAATCCGGTTAGCATTATCGTGACTAATATTTGTATATTGCCAGCGTTGAAGTGGGTCGGGACATGCACTGTCTTGTTTACAATGTCTGACACTATTACAACATCACTAATTCAGTTTATTAAAGTTTGGTCTGCAACATTAGACATTAGCTGTTGAGCCACGGCCAACCCATATGGGCATGTTTTTTTAATGGTATAATATGGTTATCTTTAGAATTATTCTGCTAAACAAGAGAAACCTTTTTGTTTCACTTAATTCATTAACTGCCATTGACAACCAAAGTTGTCATTTACATTTTCTTTACTGTGTGGGCGTCGGAACGACCCCTCGCACCGTAAGAACAAACATCCCAACTCTACAGCCAAACTTCATCCGCGTACATCACGCATCACGTGATCAGGAAGCAGAAAATCCATGTGTTATGAGAGCGTTTTGGGCCGCTGCTGTAAAAAAAGTGAGGTGCAAACCGGAAACGCTTCTACCGATCACAATTCGACAACGGGTTATGAAAGAACAGATAACGCTCGAAACACGCAAATTCTTCCTGATGTAAGAGGTGAGTCTACTCTTTGTTTTGGTCGTTTTGGCGCTTACGTCATCATAGAGCGCAATGTTCTGTGACTCTTAAAAAATACTGTGAAAATGCTGAAAAACGCTGGCAGTGAAGGGCTTTTCTGATCAAGAAATGGCTGGCAGTTAATGAATTAATATTCAAACAAACATGACTAACGAAAATCACATGAACAAATTTGCATGTTTTATTAGTGTAAGCTGAGAGGAACTGTGGGTAAAGTCAACTACAGTAGTTTCTGTATCAACTTTAAGGTATCTTGATGCACACAACAGAATTTTTGACCTTCCATCAAGTTTAAGGATGTGCACAATTACTAAAAAGGCTCTAAAGATAATCTTATCAGATCCTACCTTTTGTGGTGTGTTTTGAGTGCTCTTGTGCGCTCAGTAGGACACTGCGACCGCTCCGAGCATAAATTTGGATTTGGTTTAATTTTCAAGGGCAAACAAGAGCGCTATCTGTTAAATGTTAAATGATTGATGATCTAACGGCTAATCACAGTGACTAAGTGGTGCTTAGCAGCTCTAATCCCAGAAATGTCATATCAATTCATGCAAACATTATTTAATGAGCTCTTACACTATTGTAAATGTACCATTATATGGCTTTTTACATAGATTATGGTGGCTGGTGGCAGCAGGACTTAGCTGTTCATGATAATTTTTTAGAATAACCAGAAAATGGGAAGATTTTGACAATATAAATGTTATAAAACCTGAAATCCTGAGGACTGGAGTTTTGACATTTATTAAATGAGTTGCTAGAGCTTCTGTTCAGTCAGAACTATTAGTCTAATCTCCTGTTCTCTAAACTGAGACTATTTGTAGATATGACTGCAACACACTTTGGTCTTGGCTGGTTTGGACTCGCTGTTAGCACATCAGTCCTGAAAGAACCTAATTATTTCTCTGGAGAGAGGCTCTTCATGAAGCTTTTAAGTTATTTATAACTTTTGCAAATAAACTCTTGAAATGTAATGTCGAGCCAATCAGAAATCAAGATCACGGAATCATGCTGCACTCTCCTCCACTATGTTTGTTTACTCCAAAGTCACATTTGATTTTCCAAGATTTTGCCATGTAAACCGGGCTTAAAACATTTCATAAAAAATGTAGGATTTTGCCACTATGTTAATCCAACACACAGCCTAAACCTAACCTGTCAAAAACCTACCACAAGCCATGTTTTCTAAAAAAATACAGATTCATCATGTTTAATTGATGTGTTAACATGTAGGATGCTAAGGAAAATGTTTATTTATGCAACAGACACTAACCTCTGATGACAGGTTTGAGTTGTTTGTAGGATTTCACAGCAAGCTGGTTTAAGTCCTTCCACCATAAATCATGGGTTATATTGGATGTAGGAAGTTTAAACAATGAACTGCGGACACGATGAGAGCTGGTGGTGCAGAGCAGGGTGTTGGATGACGTAGCTGGAAGCAAGTGTCCAAGGTTTTTGAATGAAGGAACAAAAAAGTAATTTATCTATTGAGATATCTGTTGTATTGCAAAAAGAGACCTTAAAAATAAATGTCCTTAAATAAATGGGATACTAAACGCACTACACAATTACTTGCACGAATAAACCAAAATGTATAAAACAGGAGGCTCTTTGTCTCACAGAAGTACAACTAGACAGAAGACTCCTTATCTCTATCGCCAGAACTTCTTGTTTTGTGATGTTTCCTGTTTCCTGGAGATAACAGTGGAAATATTAGCTAGCCTCTCCATAAAAGATCAACAAAAAAGAAGATCTACTCCACTTCATACTGGGCCCAAATTTACAACCCAAACCTGAAATGTCCTGAAGGACTGGAAGCCTGAACCAGGCTTGTTCCACATCATCAAATGCAAAACTCATCCGAGCCCGAGTTCCTTTTTTAAATGAGGGGTAGAGAAGCCGACGGGGTTTGGGCTAGATCCTAGATGTGGAAACACCCACCCACTCGTTCTCTTCTCTCAACAGCTGCCTGACTCCGCCCCTGTTGTTTTCTTCTCCACCAGCTCTCGCCCACTGAAACCTCCAAAACTCCCGGTCCCACAAGATTTTTTTTAATCCAGCAGGACTCCAGTATCATTTCAGTGTGGATCCTTCAGTCAGTAAAACGTCTGACCTACATTTGAACTATAGTCTTTTATTATAGTTAATAAATTATTTATTGAACTCTCATTCAGCTTTGTTTATGAAAATGTGGCTTTAGGGTTGGATATGAAAATGATTTAATTTGAATCCAATAGGCTTACCTGCTCCAGGTGAAGGTTGGGTTTGGGTTGGCCGTAGACTCACATTCAATGACGTTTGGAAATTTTTGTGTTATCTTTACTTCTTCGGGTGCGACTGGAAACAAAGAGAGCTTTGTTACTCTTACAATCAATGAACTTCTAATGATTTGTGAAATGATGCAGGATTGCTCAGTTTGAGCACATCCCACATCCTCTGACAAGTGTGACTGCTTTGTTGCATTGGTGCCTTTTTTCAGTCTTCATGATGAAATAACACTGTTCATACCATACTATACCATACCAACTTTATTTATAAAGCACATTTAAAAATGGCGTGGCAGCCGACCAAAGTGCTGTACAGAACAAAAAGTAAAAACACAACATAAAAACAAAACACGGTCAACACTAAAATACACAACAAAGCAGATAATCACGGTCAATAAAAAGACACATAGTAAAATGATGAAAGTCAGGGATTTAAAAATGCCTGGTCGTAAAAGTGAGCCTTAAGTAGTGACTTGAAACGGAGGAGGGATGGTGCCAGCCTCACTGAAAGAGGAAGAGCATTCCAGAGTGTCGGAGCAGCATAGACAAAAGCACGCTGCCCCCGCGTTTTGTATTTCATTTTTGGAAAGCGAAGCAGCGGGCAATCCGCTGATCTCAACGCCCCGTTTGGCACATAACAAACTCAAGCAAGCTGTTAAATTGACTAAAACAAGGGGAACATGTTCTGCTTCTATTCTGAGGGGACTCCATTACACATTTTATGATTTTACAAGCACTAAGTGAACATGTACGGTGCCAGTCCAGGATGCTTAGCAACAAGTTGCCATGATACAGCTCTTATGCATCAGTGTCTCCATTGTTACGGAGACTTCTGTGCCTTGAACATCAGTCATGTGTAACTGGTTCCTCAATTAAATGCCTGTGGGCCAACTTTAGGAGTTAGGGTTAGCAGAAGAAAACTTTCCACATCTGTGGCTCAGACGTTTATTTTGATAATGCGTTAAGACTTTTTACGCAAGCCATCATATTTTACTCAACACCTCAGTTCTGAACCACTGCTCGGTCATTTATGAATTTTGTTTCTTGGGAGCTTAAGCCATTAAATGAGTCTGAAATTAAAGACTCTAAACACCCCCTTTTTCCTTTAGTCATACCTGCTACTCCCATCTAATTATCTTTTTGTTTGTGAAGATCAGAGAGAATACTGTTAATGGGTGTGTGTGTGTGTGCACCCATGTGTGTTCAGGGAGTTTTACTGTTAACAATGAAATATGATCTTTGGGTGGGATTGAGGAAATCTAACTCCCATGTAATTAGAAGCTGAACTCTAAATTAGTGGCTGTGCCAAGCCCAGACTTGATGATCACAGCATGGTCATGCTAGGGTTTCATGGACGACTGCTTAAGGTACATTAGAATTCAAATAAGGTTGTCCAGCTGAAGAATGCTTGTATAGGCCTTAAGTCCAGTAAGAAAGAAAACTCTAAATCTGAGTATGTTTTTATAGAAGCTGTTGACTATACTGACACAGTTGTTGCCACAGATACCATAGTGAGATTACAAAAAGCCCATTTAGGCTTTCTGCTGTAATCACTAAGCAGTTTTTATTTTGCTCCAAAAACACTGATGTTAATCTAGATGTCCTCGTTTTTTGTAACACATTCTTTATTGCAAGTTTGACAGCAATAGAAAATGACTTGATGAATAGACTAAGCAAGTAAGCAATTCATTAAATGGACTACATCTACATTAACACAAAATTTAGTTTTTGGAGCTTTTGACCATGTTATAAACATGAATGAGGAACGTTTGCGTCATCATGCCCTGCTCCTCCCCATCCAGGTAGTCTAGCATCTAAATCCCTCCTCCCCTGGACTGTAAACACTAACACCAAGTCCATGCAAAGTAGCAAGCGAGAAGTTTAATCTCTACAGTAGTGAAAAAGTGATTTTTTTTCTTATCTAGTCTGCACTTTAAATTCTGCCAAGAATCTAAAAATGCATTTTTGTCTGCGAGAGAACAGGATCCACTTTCAGTTATTTGATTTTCAGAAATTGTTGAATTTCATCTTCAGGAGCTCTCTAAAACTGAGCCAGAATGTGACCGTGATTCAACAGACAGCTTGTTAAATTGAGTGCGATTGAGTGCGTTTTCAGACGCGTTACTTCTTCAAACTGGCGCCATTTCAACGTTAAAACCACCCGATGGAGAGGGCAGAGTAGTGAACAACCAAAATGCTAACAGCTAGCTGAATGGGTATAAAGTTTTGTGGCAAGTGCCAGGGACGGACTGGGACAATGATACAGGCTGGGAAACTACTAACATCTCGGCGTCCCCCCCCTTCAAGTAGTGTGTGTGTGTGTGTGCAGCTCAGAAATAAGTGGGATTTGCACAGGTGGAGATGGTATTTTATCAAATCCAAGTGCTTATTTCTGAGCTGAAGGAATGGTTCACAAAATATGAAGGAGACCATTAATAGCTCCTTCAGCGACAGACTGAGACATCCAAGATACAAAACAGAACACTGCCATAGGTCATTCATCCCCTTTGAAGTGAGTGAATAACTCCTCAGTTTCACTGGTACTGGCATTATCCTGTTACACAATAACAGCAATGCAATATTCAGTATGTGTTCAATACTTGAGCAATGCTGGGTGTACATTAATATATCTGTGTCCATTATGCTGCTAAGTCATGCAAACCCAAGTTTCCTTTTTTCATTGTTTTTAGTGGTTGAAGGTTACAATAATAGCTTATTAACTTTGTGTGTTTACCTGTAATCTTGTTATTATTTTTCATCTTCCTTTTCTCTAAGTGTAAGTGCTGCTGTCGCAAGTGAATTTCCCCACTGTGGGATCATTAAAGTCTATTCTAATCAAGTTTTATGATAGTTTAACTTTGCTTCTGTGTATGTAATGTGCTATGTAAAAAATGCTGCCTTGCCTTCCTTTTTGGAATGGTGAAATAGAAAAAAGGGTGCTGAGAAAGAAAAGTAATAGAAGCTATCAACATGTGAGTTTAGAGGAAAGGGCTACAGCAATGGAAAATCAGTCCAAATGGTAAGTAATTTAACTTTTTTTCCCCTTTTTTCTTCTCTAAAGAATATAAGGAATGTCCAGCAAATCCCACAGAAGCATTCTCCAGTTTTTAACAGCATTCACATTTAAAATCTGCCTCTAACAGTGTCAGACTAACAAGGTTTTACTTAATCAAAAGTCTAAATAAGAACAAGGGTTAGGGTTCATGTTGGACATTCTTTCTCTTCACATGCGTTTCTGATGTGTTAAATACAGATGCCACTTTGGTGTTCGAGTTCCATATTCAACCTTCAAATATAGATGTCGGTAGGTATTTGCTTACTTACAGTAGACCTGAATCGTGAAGGGCAGAGTTGTGTTTTCTGTCAGTGCTTCATGGCTGACGACACAGTGGGCCAAACTGCCGTAGATGTGCTTTGTAGGTCTTCCATACAAGAAGGCCACTGTGGTGGAAGTGCCGTTGAGGTGTGAAATTAATGTGCTCTTTTGTGTCATGCTTGATTGCAGAGCTTTGCTGTCCCACCACACATTTGCTTGTGGCTTGGATCCGGCAGCCGTGCAGGTTGCAAGAAGAACATCTTGATCTCCCAGAGCAGGTCTCTCATCCATCACACTTGTGGATGGTGGTACTAGAAAAGTTAGAAATAGGTTGATATGTAAACAAGAAGGTAAAAACACTAACCTCTCCACATACATAACACTGAGTGTGACCATACCAAGCACTCTTAGAGGGATATTTGTTTGTTTATTTCCAGTAGGGAAAAAGGTGAGAATGCAGGTGTAGGTCCCTTCGTCTTTCAGGCTTACGTTATGCAGCCGGAGAGTTCCATCGTGGTCAGAAAATCTCCCAGCATACTCAAACCTTGTATCCGGTTCCAGTCCATTGATAAACCGAATGGCAGTGGCTGTGATGGTGAAGAAGTTGTCTAGCTTTGTTTTTTCCTTTGTTAGTCTCTGCCATGAAATCTGTTCAAGGGTCTCATCTTTTGCCAACGTCCCTGCTAGTTTGCAGGGTAAAGTGGCAGAAACTCCCAGCTCTACAGTCACACTTCCACCAGTCACCTGTGCTGCAAAGTAAATAAAATAGCAGGTTATATGTCTGGACAAAAAAAAAACACGAGGCCAAACGAACATTTTCAATGAAGTTTCTACAACTATTTTCACACTTGAATTGCAGTCGTGGCGATGTTGTTGACCCTGAGATGAAACGATTCATTGATAGATTTATTTAGGGAATTTCTTATTGAGTACACATTACTGTTTTAAACAGATGTAAAGTGTTTTATTGAAATAAAAAATACAAACATAAACAAACAAACATGGATTCCTGAGACACCTCACAAGTTAAAAAAAAACTGCAGAAGAATATGAAGCTCTATGAGAGAGATTATGTTTAGCTCCATGATGATGACAAAAAAGACTTTGGGAATATTTTGGTGCAGTTGAGCGTGTCTGGGAGCTCTCAGCTGCAGCTGATTTCACATCAGCCTGGCCAGGGGATAAAAGCAGCAGGAAGACACTCATTCAATGCTGGAGAAGAACCATTTGACTGGTTCCAGAGAGCGAGTGATCGCTGGAGAGTGGACATATATACAGGTCCTTCTCAAAAAATTTGCATTATGTGATAAAGTTCATTGTCTGTGTAGACAACCTGCTGTTTAGTATTTTGTTCTAATCTGCTTGCCGTACCTCCGGGTAGGTCTGTGTATGTGTTGACTGGTACAGTGGGCATTCGGTTAGTGAGTCCATGCATGTAAGCTGTCTGCTGTTCTGCTGGTTAATAAAACCACGTTAACTGAATATACCGCTTCATCATTATCATACTGGTGAACAAACAACATGGTGTCAGAAGGGATAGAACACGTACTTCGTATTTGACGGTATTTATTTTTTCGTCTCAAGATTTTTTTATTTTTTTCTCTGTGGGTGCATTTTTTGTGTCTGGACTGTAGCCGACATGGCGGAAGGATTCAGGAGGCCTGACCCGCTTGTTTTCGACGGTAATGTTGCTGAAAACTGGCGCATTTTTGAGCAGGAGTATGACATTTTTATAGCGGCGGCACACTCGGACAAGCCAGCGCGCACTCAAGCCTACATATTGCTCAACTTAGCCGGTCCCGAAGCTATAGAACGGGAGCGGTCTTTTGTTTACGCGCCAGAAGTGAGAGAGCCCGGCGATGGAGGACGAGTTCTCATTCCTGCAGAATCGAAGGAGGATCCTGAGTGCCTCAAAAGAAAATTCAGAGAAATGTGCAGTCCACAAACCAACGTCACGATGGAAAGACACAAGTTCAACACGCGGAATCAGAGGACTGGGGAGACTGTTGAGTCATATGTGAGTGATTTACGGATTAAAGCAAAAAGCTGCAGATTTGGTGATCTGAGTGATGAACTAATAAGAGACAGACTAGTTTGTGGCATCAACAATGACAATTTAAGAAAAGTGCTACTGCGTGACAGTGATTTAACACTTGCAAAAGCCATTTCAGTCTGCCAGATCCATGAAATGACTGAAGAGCATAATAAAACACTTGCTTTTCCTCAACAATCTGCAACAAATGTTGACGTGCTCCAGCCCAAATTTTCAAGACAGCACAGAGGAGATAAAATGAAAAATCAAGGAGACAGGTCTGAAACACAGCATATCACTAACTGTACTAACTGTGGGGGTGTTCATGCTGCAAAAAAGAGCAAATGTCCGGCTTTTGGGCAGCAGTGTCATGCATGCAAAAAGTGGAATCATTTTAAGAAACGGTGCAGAGCCATTCAACCTACCCAAAATATAACAGGACGCAGAAAGTCAGTCCATCATGTGGAACCCGACCAAGCTGACGACAGCGGAGATGACACATTCTACGTTGATGGAATAAACCTGCAATATGCAATCCATGCGACTGATGTGCATGTGGAACACAAAGAGGAAGTTTTCGTCACAGTGCAGATTAATGGGATTCCTGTTGAGATGAAAGTGGACACAGGTGCAAAATGTAATGTGCTTCCCATGAAAACAGTTAACATTATAAGAGCATATAAACAAATAAAAGCTCATCCCAAGTCCGTTAACCTAGTAGCATTTGGAGGCAGCAAGATTCAATCCTCAGGTGTAATTAAGCTGCAGTGTTTTTTGCATGGGCAGTCACATGTGCTATCATTCTTTGTCGTTAATGAAGATGTTCAGCCAATACTTGGACTATGTGCATGCAAAGAAATGGGACCTGTATCATTCAGCAATGACGTCCACCAATTGAGTACGTCCGCAGATGACCTGTCACAACAGCTTATCACGGAATACAGCGACTTATTTTCTGATGAGCTTGGAAGGTTGCCAGTCACCTATCGCATGACACTGAACCCAGATGTGAAACCAGCTGTTCGCCCAGCACATCGCATCCCTTTGGCCATGAAAGACAGAGTCAAGGCAGAGTTGGACAGGATGGAGAAGTTAGGCGTCATTACTCCCGTCTCAGAGCCAACAGACTGGGTGTCTTCTATGGTAGCCACCAACAAGAAAGGCAAAGATGAAATAAGGATATGCATAAATCCTCGAGACAAACACAGCACTGAAAAGACCACATCATCCAATGCGCACAGTGGAAGAAGTGGCTGCAATAATGTCAAATGCCACTGTGTTCTCTGTGTTGGATGCTAAGAACTCTTTTTGGCAGGTGTCATTGGATCAGAAATCATCCATGCTGACCACCTTCAGCACTTGTTTTGGTCGTTACAGGTTTCTCAGAATGCCTTTTGGTCTTAATGCTGCCAGTGAAGTGTTTCAGCGAGCCATGGAGCAGATATTCGCTGGGTATCCATGTGCCATCATTGTTGATGATATACTCATCGGCGGAAGAACCGTGAAAGAACATGACGAAAACCTGAGAAAAGTCCTTGATCGTGCCAGAGAAGTAAACCTGCGACTAAACCCATTAAAGTGCAAATTCCGGCTGAATCAGGTCAGTTATGTCGGACACATTTTCACAAGCGAGGGACTTAAAGCTGACCCTTCCAAAACAGCCGCAATCAAAGAAATGCCAGTTCCAACGGATGTCCAAGCCCTGCAGAGGTTCCTGGGGATGGTCAATTATCTTGGAAAGTTCATTCCAAACTTCAGCCATCTGTCAGCTCCTCTGCGACAGCTCACACACAAGGACAGTGAGTGGATGTGGGACACACAGCATCAGGCTGCATTCAACGCACTTAGAGAGCACATGTCGAGTCCACCTGTTCTGTCATATTATGATGTCAGCAAACCTGTGACACTAACATGCAATGCATCACAGTATGGTCTTGGTGCAGCTTGCTTACAGGAAGGGCAACCTGTAGCGTATGCTTCACGTACTCTGACAGACACTGAAACCAGATATGCTCAGATAGAGAAAGAGCTACTGGCTGTCGTTTTCGCATGTATGAAGTTTCATGACTACATTTATGGCAAGCCTGTAGCTGTAGAAACAGACCATCAGCCACTAGTCACCATACTAAGGAAACCTATTCATGCCGCACCAGCCAGATTGCAGAGGATGTTGTTAAGGCTCCAAAAATACAACATAACGCTCACATATAAATGTGGAAAACAAATGTATCTGGCTGATACGCTGTCTCGTGCTCCCAGCAGAACCACTTTCCAGCAGTCTGAGGAAGAGGATAACTTTGATGTCATGACGGTGAGCTGCATCTCTTCTTCACGCCTGGAGGAACTTAAAGGACACACGGCCGAGGATGAGACATTGCAAGTGCTCAGCTCGTTCATCAAACATGGTTGGCCACTACGACTCCACAACCTTCCCACGGCGGTTCATCCATATTTTCCTTTCAGGGATGAGCTGACTGTGGATGATGGCATCATTCTTAAAGGTACCAAAGCCGTGATCCCAAAATCGCTGCAAGGAGACTACATCACCATTATGCACAGAGGAAATCCTGGCGTGGAAGCTACCAAGCGGAGAGCGCGGGGGATCGTTTTCTGGCCGTTCATGTCAAGAGACATTGAACAAGCAGTTACTTCTTGCTCGGTGTGCAACAGCACTAAACCTCATCAACAAAAAGAGCCCCTTCATCTGCAGGAAGTTCCAGATCTCCCTTGGTCAACTGTAGCTACAGATATCTTTGAATGGCACTGTCAGCACTATTTAGCAGTAGTCGACTCATATTCAGGCTGGTTTGAGATTGACCTGCTAAAGGATTTGACATCAGCGACAGTCATTAAAAAACTGAAAAGACACTTCTCAGTTCATGGTGCTCCACACACTCTGATCTCAGACAATGGAAGGGAGTTTACAAGCCAGCGTTTCAAAGACTTCGCTTCACAGTGGGACTTTCGACATGTCACCAGCAGTCCAGAGTATCCTCAATCTAATGGGCTTGCTGAGAGAGCAGTGCACAGTGCTAAACAGCTGATGGAGAAATCTCACAGAGCTGGCACCGATGTATTTCTCAACCTGCTGAATCTCAGGAATGTTCCACGTGATGTGAACCTGGGTTCACCTGCAGAACGACTTCTATCCAGACAGACTCGAACTACACTCCCAATCATGACCAAACTGCTCGAACCACAACACCGTGGATCTGAGAAAGTGAAAGCCCAGCTACTCAACAAGAGACTGACTCAGAAGGTCTGTTACGACAGATCCAGCCGACCACTTCCACCTCTTGAAGAAGGACAAATTGTGGGGTTACAGACCCCACAGAGTTATGACCGCACAGGTGTGGTGAAGGAACTTTGTAAAGAACCTAGATCCTACCTGGTACAGTCAGATGGGAACATTTACAGGAGAAATCACAGACACATATTGCCTGTGTCTGAGCCTGTTACTGCTCAGAAAGGCACTGATCATCATCATGATGATGGACTGCAGGGTGGGGGTGAAAACAATGATGTAGAACCATTTAAAGACAGCACTCATGTTGAGAGCTCTTCTGATGTTTTGCATTCTCCAGGACCTTCCAGGAGTGATGGTGTTTATAGGACACGCTTTGGTCGTGTATGCAAACCAAATCCAAGATATAGGGATTAATTGAGTACTAGTTATAACACAGAACTTGTTCAGGTTTGATGGTCAATTCTACAGTA